AAGGTAGGAAGTTTGCAGCAGCGTAATTCTATGTCCTAACTTCTCTCCTGCTCATCTTTCATGGCTATGGCATGAAGGGCATATATTTTACATCTCTCTATACTATTAAGGTGGTTAAGTGCTTGACTGCTTATGTATTAGAAAGGTTGCTGATTTGAACCCCATCCCCACGCCCACCCCCCAGACATACCTTGGAAGAATGTCTAGTGGTTTCCTTCAGAAGATGACATCCTTAAGCAGTCTATCCAGCAATTCAACTTTGCCCAGAGGGTCACCATGCAACTGAAGCTAATCTACAGCGACTAACACCACCAGTATATACTACAAACGCCACAAAACCAGTTTTGTCTTTGAGTCCACTGTGTATTTTATTAAGACACATTTAAAAAATCATCTTTGATCATCTTCCATCAATCTACCACTTACAAGGCCAAGTTCCCTTCTGCGGGTACTTCCTTTCAGTCTAGAGAACTTCAACTTTAACCTTTAGTTTTTCTTGAAGTACCAGGATCCTGGCTTTCATCTATCAACATAGCTTTACTTCGCTTTAGTATTTGAAAAGTATTTTTGCTATATAATAGGATTCTATTTCCTTTCAGCACTTTATAGATGTTGTACCATTGTTGCCTGCCCTCACCATTGCTGACATCAAATCAGCCATCACGGTGTCTTTGTTTCTTTGTGTGTAAAATACTGTTGGTCCCAGGTTTCTTTGATGCTTTTATTTTAGTATTTGTTATGAATAGTTTGACTCTGATGTTCGTAAGTGTTATTTTCTTTGTCTTCATTCTGCTTAGGGTTTGTCTTCCTTATTGGATCTGTGTCAATGTTTCCCACAAAACTTGGGAGTCCAGACTTGATGACTGAAAAAAAAAGTCCTGCCCCATTACCTTTCTCCTGTCCTTAAGGATTCTAATTACTTATATATCAGATCATTCGATATTGACACTGAGGTTGGCTAAAGCTTAGCTCATTTTCTTCCCACTTAGTAAAGTATCAGTATTAGTAAGTGGACACCAAAGACAGAATTCTTGACATACATAGAAAGGCACTTTTTCTATTCTTGGGTTCTAGGTCTCTGTCCATATCACATATGTCCTATGAGATGGTGCTGTGTTAGTCTGGGTAGACAAGAGGAACGAATTCATAGACACTCATGTGTGTGTAAGAGAGCTTTATATCAAAGAGCAATTGTACATTAAGAAAATAACCCCACCCAATCCAGATTGTCTGCAAGTCCAATATTAGCCCATATGTCTGATACCAGTCTATAAATTCCTCTTAAGAGTCACACAGCCATGCAATGATGCTAAATGCAGGAAGATCACAGGCCAGTGGGTGGAAAGTCTTATGGATCCACTGATGGTGGAAGCATCTTAGCGCTGATGTGGGTCTCCACGCGGCTCCTCCAGCTCCAGGGCTCTGGCTATAGCTCCATGTGGCTTGTCCGCAGGAAGATTAGTAGAGAATCTGTCTGTCCCACCTCAAGCAAGCTATTTATCTCTTTAGCGCCTCCAAATGAGGTCATCAAGCTGCGACCTGATTGACAGGACAGACTCCACCCCTCCACCAGTTGACACCAGATTAGGCAACTACCACAGGCGTGATGGCAAAGCATGTTATAGAGTTGCTCTACCATATTCTAAGTTGACACTCGAGTAGAACAGACAGTTAGATAGAGTCTCCCGCTTCCTTGGTAGCCCTGAGAGCTGCAGAAAGCAGTGTACTTTGAGCAAAGCAGATCAAAGCAGAACAGAAACAGAAGCAAGGAAACACCTTTACCATTGCACCCGATCCGAAGAGTTAGGGAAAGATGTTTGTGTGAGTGAACAAATTTCAGAACCTTTCATTTGCTAGATCTGTTTCTTATTTCTGTTTATCTGTATGCAAATTCACTAACCCTTTCTTAGTTTCTAACATCTTGTTAGCCAGTCCAGTGTGTTTTAAATTTCACATAACTCTTTTTAGTTCATGAATTCCATTTTGTTCTTTCTCACAGTGGACATCTTTCCCTTAACTCTTTGAATGTATTTACAATAGATTCCTTAACATTCTTGTCAGCTAGCTATAAAAGCAGGGTGCTGTTAGGGTCGCTCACTCTTACTTGGTTTTTCTGCTTGGGTTAGTTAGTGAGGGGCCAATCGCTAGATCATATATCTTGGTTCTCACAATGTAGCAAACCCAAGAGCAGGAGCTTCCAAATCAAAAGAGAATAAATATATGTAAGCATCTGTTTATATGTGGCTTTCAATAAAGAGTTCTAGTTCTTCAAGCTATTTCTGATTCTGTAATCGATTATTTTGGTTATGGACATATCTGTATATTGACAGATTCCAAGTTGATTTTGACCCTTCCTAAGGACTCTTGAATAACTTTCCATTATTAAGTATCCTTCACTTTTCTCAGCATCCTTCTTGCCAGATTTACTAGGATTGTTTTAGGACTGGAGATGATAAATGGGAGGTTCCAGGTGTTACCATGGTCCCCAGATTAGTGCTGATCATGGAGCCAAGAGACATACAATCCCTCCCTGCTATGGAGGGTACCTTTGGAGTAGTTGCACAGGCATGGTTTTTATCTTGAGAGATGGCCAATTGTTTTAAAGTAGTCAAAAGATGAAATGTAGTTATTAAAAGTACATTTCCCCATTATAGAAAAATGTATTATAGGGGGGAAAAATGCTGGGCTCACTTCAGTCCATTTATGCAACACAGAGTCCTCGAATAGAGAAGAAAAGCTGTCTCTGATTCCTCTTTATCTGCCCTGATCATTTGCAAAATCACACATTCTTATCCCCAAAATTTCCTACGTGGATCTCATTATCTCTCATTTATAGAATTATACAAATCCCGTAAGCTTCAGCCTCGACGCTACATTACTTGAGGAGTCTTTTTGTAAAGACACTGAGCAGCATCTTACTTCTTCCACTACAGCTTCATATTCCCAAGAAAGGGGCCTTGTCTTGCTACCAAAGGGCAGTCGTGATGAAGAGAAACGTCACTGGAAGAAGGTAGGGTTGCTTCAAGCCCCAGGTCTGCCACTTTCTGGGTCATCGTTAGACTTTCTACTGCATCCAGTGAGCTGTGGGAAAATGGAGTTGATACTAGTCCTACCTCGCGTGGTTGTCGCGAGGAGCAGGCATGGCGAGCTCACGCACAGCTACGGAGCAGTTCCCCTTCCTGCCACAGTGCTATCAGTACCGTGAAAACGGCAAGAGTGGGAATCTGACAGAACTGACGGCTTTGTTTTCCAGATCTCACAAGTTTTCCACCTCTGACAAGGTGCAATCTTACCTCTTTTCTTTTAGTAGAAATCATTTCCATTTCCCTTCTCTGATGGGTTTCCACCTTATACAGGTTCTGGCTTCCACAGGTTTTGCTCTATTTAAATGCTTAATAAGGAAATGTCTAAATGAATACTGGCTGGTTTGCGTAAGTTCCATTCTGATGGATAAGAAAAACCAGTTTTGAAAAGGATCATAACTCTAAGTTATGGTAAATGCTATGAAAACAACAACAAAGAGCTAAGGAAAAAATGAAATAAAGATTCTGCATGCAATAGGATGGTCAAAGAAGGCCTCTCTGAGCACATCGAATGTAAGTCGAGACTTAAAGCATAAGGAGCAGCCACACAGAGTGGGAAGGACAAGACTCTCTGAAGAGGGAACACTGGGCACAAAGGTTCTGAGGGTACAAAAACCTGACGTCCACTGAGAGGCGGAACTGGAATCACCGAACAGACCGAGGCCCCAGATAAGGACAGAGAGCAGCGGAGGCCACCCAACCATGAAAAGGCTTCATGAGGCCAGAAGAGAGAGTGGCTTTTTGTCTAAGTGCAAAGGGATTACCTGCTGGGATATTTCAGTAATCAGATGAAGGGATCCCAAGACCCACTTAATCTGTGAATTATGAAACTAAACTAAAGGCGGATAAGAATTTCTGAACACATTTTGAGCTTGTTCAAAGAAATGAAGAGTATACATGTGGCATGAAATATTGCCCAATATGATTGAAGCTATTGGTTGCCAACAAATAAAAATCTTTGGGGGATATATAATAAGTATTTGTTTTTCTATTTATCTTTTTTTATATCTATCCATGATCCCCCCCTAACACCCCCCAGAAATGAATACCACCCTTTGAGGTGGGTGTTCAATAGAAGGGATAAGTGATCTAGGCAGGAAGAACCAGAGTACATAGAAACAGGAGCCAAAGTCCAGGGCTCTCAAGCTGTCTCTCTTCTAAGGTGGTCCTCACTCCCCAGACTGCCCTGATGTCCTGAGCGGGCCCCACTATGTCTACGCCACCCCCACTCCCCCCGCCCACATGGACTCATAAACTTCTTGAAGGGCATTCTGGCACCAAGGCTAGGAGGAGTCATGAGGAAAATTTAGATTTATGAATCAGATCATTCTCTCCACAAGCCAAGTTACCTTTGGGAAAACAGGTCCTTACCATCGTAAACTTCTTCCTAGAACACCAGGGTTATCTTCTCTCTTGAGACAACTTCCTTCCTTCATTTTCTTTCCATTTTTAAAAAATCTGCTTCATATTAGAGACTACTTGGCACTAATTAAGAACACTGCCACTAATATCACAAGGTGTTTCTACTTTCACATGATATACTGAGTAATTAGAACAATTTCTGCTCTTCAACAAAGAAATATATTCCTACAGGAAAAATCTGTGTGGATGAGCTGTCAGGCTCGGATCCCCTTTACCTGTTCACTTATGGCATGTGAATTTCAAAGTATTCATAATTGCTGAGTCCTCTAAAAATGTGTCAGTATTTTTTTCCCTCCCAAACAGCAAAACAAACAATCTCTAAGTATTTTGAGACAACATGTGTCATAAGAATACTTTGTGTCTAATTTTAACTTTTTGTTCCTCTGAAGATGAAGGATAATTTACTTAATGTCACTTATGAACTTGGTGACAACTAATTAGCCTTCAATTCACCATAGCTGATCCAGAAATAAGAGCAAAAGGGTGAATACCTACTGTTGCCAGGTAACTGCATCCACTGCGTTTCCGGCCACCTTCATGAATCTGTAAGGAATAGAAAACAAAATGAAAAGAGATCTCATCCCCAAGGTTAAAATGAGATACACGGAGCCATTGGAAATCGTAGCTATTAGTGGGCAAGCTATAAAGAAGGCAAAGGTAGCTGAACGTAATAGTTCCCTCCACACCTTTCACCACTAAGAAATCAAGAACTCAATCTACGTCTGTCTTTCTCAGTGCATGCTAGCTGGCACCCACATTGCCTCCCCTATAATCAAAACGTATCTGTTCCATTTCCTAGAAACTCCAATTTCTGTTAGGAAACAAATATCCTTCCCCAAGGATGAAAGCACAATCGATGTTGTTGAAAACCCTGAAACCTCTCTTCCTGGAGAAATCCCAGTGTATTTATACAAATATAACAAAAACCCACTGCCATTGGATCGAATCCAACTCAGAGCGACTCTATAGGATTTCTGAGACCGTCCATCTTCACAGGGCAGGCAGTCTCATCTTCTCTTGGAGCTGCTGCTGGGTTTGGAGGACTGCCCTTGTGGTTGGCAGCATCCAGTGTCCACTACCGATGGGCTGCCCATCTGACTGAGTGTAGAAACCTGTGCACCACAAAGAAAACTGCAGCCATTTTCAGGGCAGCTCACCTGAGAGCTGCCATCTCACAGTTGTATTTAAAACTCACAAGGAGGGCCAGCAGAGCTTTGTGTTCTGGGAGTTCCACGAGAACCAAAGGTCCAGGAGGCAGCATTAGGGACTCAAAGGTGTCCTAGGATATTACAAGTCACATGACTGTAATTAGTCAGTGATCCAATCTACCCCTTCCCCCACTCACCTGGTCCGAGGCTGTGTGCTGGCACGGCTATTATCACTGTTTGAGAGCATTACCACCCAGACACAGGCAATCTCAGTTCTTTAAGGTACTCTTTTCAGCCCCCAGGTCCTGGAGGGGACCTGAGTTAGTTAATTGTGCCAGCCTGGCCGATAATCACATGTGGTGCTGGTTGAAAGGCGGAGGGATAAATGGGTGGTGAAGCCTCGCCTTTCTAGTTCTCGGGTCTCTTGCTTTGTGATGGTCGCACCAGGATGCAGCTGCTTTAGCAGCTCCCTGCTTCAGCTTGCAAGATTGACATCCTACAAGACATCTCTGAGGAGAAGCCGCATGGACCTATCCCGATGCAGCCTGGATGCTGGAGCAGCCGTGTGGAGACCCCTGCTAGTGCTGAGATGCTTGTTCGTTCACTGACTCAGCTTTCCTCCTGCAGTCGGCATCATTGCCTCTGTTTTGTGAGGTGGAAGACATTGTGGACTGGTGTTGGGTTAATGGGTTAATGTTGGACTTGTGGGCTTAGGCAGCATTGGGTTGGGATGTTTTCGTGATGCACCTTTTCTTTACATAAAACTCTCTCATACATGAGTCGCCGTGGATTTGTTTCTCCAAAGTACCTAGACTAATACAGGACCTTTTCCTGATCTTAAAAAAAAACCTAGTCTTTCATCGGTACGTCCTAACTGAAGAACTCTCCCGCCAGAGCGGGAGGTGGTTTTGTCTGGGAGTCCCTAGTCCTATCCCAGTGGATCTCGTCAGAAGTCTCTAGGCTCTGCTCAGAGTCTCTTTGCCATGGTGGTGAGGATGGCCGAGCCTTTCTGCAGAGGTGGACAAGAGCACAAATCAGAGGCGGACACCAGGGTGTTGGCTGGCGTCAAAGTGAAGTGTATTTTGAAGAGGAAAAGCAACAAAGAAGCCGCCCTGTCTTGATGTTCGTCTGAATGATCTGACCTTGTTTCACCAGTGCCATCGAGCAGTGTAGGATCGAGAACACACACCAGAAAAGCAGCATAGAAACAAAGGATAAGAGAGTGTAATGGATAGAGAAAAGGGATAAAGATGTCTTTAAAAAGGCAAGAAGCATAAAATCGTTAATGATGGGCGGGGCCAATATAGCAACTTGGGCTAGGGGGAAAAGAACATTAACTGAGTAGTTACTTGGTGCCAAGGCAATGTGAGCAGGCCATTATACAGATTGCTATTGTCCTCACCGACTAGAGAAATCATAGAGCCCAGATCCCAAGAAGCCCAAATCGTATGGGGTCATGCCACTCCTACTAGCAGAACTGCTTGGGAAGCTGGTCCCTTCTGCTTTGGGAATCTTGGGCTTCTCCACATGACTTTTCCCCAGTCCAGAAAACTCCGTCAGACTCTGGGAGGGTAGTTTCAGTCTCCATACTATTTCTGACCTTATATCTATAGGGTATTTGGGGTTCAGAATCTAGAGAAGATGACTGAACTATCTTTCTGCCTTCTGTGCACTGCTGTATGCTTTCCCCGAGGACGCAGCTGCACAGCCAACTAGCCCCACCAATTGGAGAAGGAGAAAGAAAGGACAACTAGCAGAGAAAGATAACGGATTGGCATCTAAAATACTGTCCCAGTCACATAAGCACTCTACGGCGATCGATGCTGACAATAATCTTAGAAGCAAGTGATCCAGAAATGAAGTTGGGAAGGAAACATTGCATTCTCATCAGGATTTTTTAAATTAAAAAATCCAGACAATCTTAGATCAAACATATATTTTTAAAAAGGAATAAAAAGATATATTTACATGGATTTACTCCTCCCAAACTATCTCTAAAATAGAAGTATTTTATGTAAGACTGATACACCGGTATTTTATTTAATACGACCTTCATTTTCATATAAAAGTAGCCATTCTCTTATAGAATGTTCTGACTATAGAAGGTTTTCCATTTGTTTACACGTATAATTTCACATAATCTTCAAGATGACCCGGTTAAGTAGATATTCCTATTTCATAATAGAAAAGGCTGAGTATGATACAAGTTATGTGACGTGCTCAAATTCAGAGAGTTGGTGTGGACTAAGAAACCAGGTGGTGCTGTGGTTATTCATTGGGCTGCTAACCAAAAGATCAACAGTTCGAAACCATTAGCAGCAATTCCAGAGAAAGACAGCTTTCTAGTCCCGTAAAGAGTTAGAAATGACGCAATGGCAGTAACTGAGTGAGTGTGGACTAAACCCAGGTTCTCGGATTCCAATTCCTGTTCTCTTTGTAGCAGCCTATCTGGCCTCCACCTTACTAATGCCAGGAAGTATAGGACAGCTCTCAGATGTTGCAATTTTTGCTTGAGAAAACACTATTATAATTATCGGGGAGGGGGAAGGCCTGAGCAGCATCTTTGCTCATTGCCTTTCTCTTAGACGTCAACATTTCAGTGCTTGTTTGTAAGACATTGTGCCAGGTCCTGCTCTCAAAGGTGGAGCAAGGAAGGTCTATGCTCTGAAACCACCACAACAGAACCCAGGAGACAGGGAATACTTATACAACGAGCTGTAAAAAGCTTACAGGTGCTGTACTACTGGGAACGATGGACTGCGGTGGGACCACAATCAAAAGAGCCATTTGCTCTACCTCTCATGGTATTAGAAGAGGAATCAACCAAAAACCCGGACCTCACTTCCATCGAGTTACTTCTGACTCCGAACTGCCCCACAGAACAGAGGAGAACTGACCCTGTGTGATTTTGAGACGGTAAATCTGTGTGAGAGCAAAAGGCCCCAACATTCTCTCACAGAGAGATGGTGGGTCCGAACTGATAATCTTGTGGCTAAGAGCTCAAGGAAAAACTCACTACACCACCAGGGCGCCTTCAGAAGAACGATAAAGCTTCCCCCTGGAAAGGACATTGGACCTGCATTGAAGGGGATGACTGAAGAGTTATACAAGCAAACGAACAGTGTGGACAAAGCAAGAAGAATCAAGAAGAGCCCTATTCCCATGGGTGCTGCTACGATCACTAAAGCCCACCTGTGAATGTAACAAGTCTGACAGCAAAGTCCAAGTCCAGCCCCGGTCCTGTTTACCTATGCTAACACCCCACACAGTAGGGTCAAATAGAGCTATCTCGTTCCATGCATGTATATGTTTGTAGGCTTTATCTTGTGTTTAAATACTATCTAAAGAGGACTAGATTTGTGTATGTGTGTGTGTGTGTGTGCGCGTGTATGTGCTTTATTTATGTAAAACATTGTAAACATGGCTGCAAATAAAGTTAGTGATACCAGCAGTAAAACTAAGGGGAAACTGTGCTAACCACAGGAGACTTAAAGAAAGAAATCATTGAGAAATTTGAATCAGGTTGCCTCTTGTCTGATTGGGCAGCTGAATACAATGTGGCTAAGTTGGCACTGTTACCATTTGGGGAGGGGGGATGTGATTCAAGCAGATATATCAAAAGGTGTGAAATTTTTATTTTTTGAAACTATTTTATTGGGAGTTAATACAGCTTTCATATCATTCCATAGTTCAATCACACCAAGCAGTATTGTACAGTTTCTACCACCATCAGTTTTAAAGCCTTCTTTTCCTTCCTGAACTCCTTGACATCAGCGACTTTTTACCCACTTTACGCACACACACACACACACACACACACACACACTCACCCCACCCCCATCCCCATCCCCACCCTCCACCACCACCACCGTACCTCCAGAAACAATTAGTTTACTTGCTGTCCCAATAGTTTCACCTGGGGTTTTATACACCAGGATTAGATTCGACTTTTAGAAAGACCGGTCTGCCTATGGTAAAGACACAAGATACCGGTTCAGATAAAGTGGCAGGAGATGGATGATCCCAGAGTGGTGGGAAGCGTTAAAATGTGGATGTGAAAAAAAGACACAATGGAGAGAGAGTGCTGGTGTTCTCAAGTGGACTTGGCAGTTGAACTTCAGTGGGGTAAAGTGCGTAAGAGAGGGCACCAATGTTTGCACTGCAGGAATACCATTCCCCAAACCGGGGCCAGCAGGAGGGGACTTTTGATGGTGGTGTTGGTGAGTTTTTTCCAATCTCCTGAACATCTGTCAAGGAACTTGAAGTCAATGATCATTGGTATAATCACAGTTAACAGTCACAAGAAAATTAGGAAACAAATCATCAGGATCTGCTCTCACAGGCAATTAATAATAAATCTAATTTGGCATGTTGGAAATTGCACATTACCTCTTC